TCAGTAATGGGCCACAATAATCAACCACATTGTATATTGACAAAATAAAATTAAAAAAAAATACTATCCTTTTCCATTGAATTGCCTTGGCACCTTTGTTAAAAATTGAGTACTTAAACTGAGGACATAAATGTCAGTGTTTCACTGACCTATATGTCTGTCCTTATACCAATACCACACTGGTTTGATTTCTTTAGCTTTAAAGTTTTCTTTTTCTTCTTTTTTTCTTTTTAATCAGGCAGTGTTAGTCTTATAACACTGTTTTTCTTTTTCAAAATTTTTTTTTGATATTCTGAGTCTTTTGCATTTCTGTATGAATTTTGGAATCAAATGATCACTTTGTACATAAAAGCCTGCTGAAATTTTGATAGGGATTGTGCTGAATCAGTAGATAATTTGGGGAGAATTGCCATCTTACCAGTATTGAGTCTTTCATGAATGTGGTATGTCTCTTCATCTCTTTTGATCTTTACTTTCTCTCAATAATGCATTATAGTTTTCACTGTGCTGAAGAACAAAAACTTGCCCTTCTTTCATTAAATTAATTCCTATTTTATTGTTTTTGATGTTATGTGAATTGAATGGCTTTCTTTGAGACCCCCCCCCCCCCATTCTGAGTCTTTTGCATTTCTGTATGAATTTTGGAATCAAATGATCACTTTGTACATAAAAGCCTGCTGAAATTTTGATAGGGATTGTGCTGAATCAGTAGATAATTTGGGGAGAATTGCCATCTTACCAGTATTGAGTCTTTCATGAATGTGGTATGTCTCTTCATCTCTTTTGATCTTTACTTTCTCTCAATAATGCATTATAGTTTTCACTGTGCTGAAGAACAAAAACTTGCCCTTCTTTCATTAAATTAATTCCTATTTTATTGTTTTTGATGTTATGTGAATTGAATGGCTTTCTTTGAGACCCCCCCCTCCCATAAAAAGGCAAGAATGGAGAAGTTTTTTGTTTATATTATTATACTATGTGTGCAGCTCTGTGCTGGGTCATATCCTCCTGCAACTGCCAAATGTGACTGTAGTGAGGCTATCCCTGCCTAGTCTTTTTCAGCAGTTCTTTTGTGGTCTTGCAGAAGAACTACTATAACCAGACGATTGGGATACAGCCTTCCAATTGTGAGAGAAACTAGAATTCCAAAGGAAATGCTGTGATACAGTTTTTGCATATGTCACTGTGACTAGAGGGAGTTCAGCTAGGTGTACCCGAAGGACAAATCTAGGAATCCAAACTGCTGTTATGAAGTCAGACATGAAAAACCCAAATTTTATAAATCACAAGAAGCAGTATTAGCATGTGTCATAGGCTAATGACCATTTTTCTCTTAAAATAAGTGTGTGTTTGTGTGTGTGTGTATGTGAGTGTGAATGAAACTTTGTATACCAAATGCATTGTCTCCAGGTAAATATGAATGGGGTAACCAATGCCAAATTATGAGGTGAACAAAATTTGATTTATGGTCTCAAAGCCTTCTTCTTTTCCTAAGGTGAAATAGCCCTCTCTGCTTTAATTGTCCTGTTAGTCCATTTTTTTTGTTGCTATTACAGAGTAACTGAGACTGGGTGATTTATAGAAAAAAGTTTATTTGGCTCACGTTCTGGAGGCTGGGAAGTCCAAGGGCATGATGGCAGCTTCTGGCAAGGGCTTTTGTACTGCGTGGTAACATGCAGAAATGGGAAGGGCAAGTAAGCAGGTGCAACAGAGCCACAAGAGGGAGCCGAGCTCACTCGTACAACAGCCCACCCGCAGGAGAACTCACCCACTTCCGCAGGAACTAATCCATTCATGAGGGCTCAGCCCAATCACCTCTTAAAGGCCCCACCTCTTAATACTGTTACATTGATAATACTGAAACATTAAGTTTCCAACATATGAACTTTCTGGGGACGCATTCAAACCATAGCACATGTAACATCTCTCTAAAAGAAAAACCTAAAACAGCTAATGTACTTTAACTTTGTGGTTTATTTAACTAATTATATTTGGTATAAATGAATTTAACTAGGTTTTTATTATTTTCAGTTAATCTCTTAAGTCAGGAAATACTATCACCTTTTAAAGGAATTTTGGTACCAAGGAAGAGGGGACATAGTGCTGGTGGTTGAGGAGGGCAGGAAGCCCCACATCACCTCAGGCCCACCTGAAGGTAAATCCTTGACGTGTGCTTGTGTGGTGAGGAGGGCCATCAGGAGGGCAGATTCCTGTCTTTCTCTTGTGAAGAGAGCCCTGGTGGAGATTTGCCCAACTTTGGGTGTTCTCAGATGCTGCTGGTGGGAGGGTCAGAAGCCTCTCCTGGCCTCCACTGCTGTATTGTTAAGCTGCCTCTGGCTTACCAGGCCCAGGGAAGCCTAAGAGGCCTGCCGTCACACTCCCTTCTACCCCCATTCCCGCCCCCATCTTTCCTACCTGGTCATGGTTCTGGTTTTCTTTTCTTGCTTAGCTTCACAGATGTGTATTCTCTATTTACTAGCACCGTTGACAATATTCCCATGAGATTTAAGGATATGTTTGTGTAAAATGAGTCTTTATGCAGTACTTGTTTTCCTCAAATCCTGTTGGATGTCTGAGTGCCTTTTACTTGGTGTCTTCCCCTGGCAGATGGCATGTTTTGCAATGGAGTGAGCCAGTTGGAGGCAGTGGGCTCCTTTATTAGAAATGTGTGTGTGGACTGCTGTGTTTTGTTGTTACTTTGTTCGGGAGTCCCAGTTGATGGTGGTTCTGGGCATAGCCGCTTGGGACTTGAGATGCCTCTTGTTTTCATTTTACTTAAACCAGATGAATTCAGATATTTGGGGTTATTTATAAACTGTAATGCAGTAGTATGTTCTTTTCTAAGTGTTATTTTTGCCTCTGAAGTTTATATTTTAGATATGGATTATGGCTCTCTAAGGACCAGTTTTCATTTGGACTATTTTCTATGATATATTATATGCATTTCTTTAATAAATATCTTTGTTAAAGAGGAAACATAATAGAGAGATTTCAAGGTTGAATGCTGTTGTTCATTTTTCTGGTTTTACTTTGCTTCAATTTCAGGAGAAACTGGCTCTTCGACAGCAGCTGCATGAAGCAAAGCAGCAGCTCCTGCAGCAGGCAGAGTATTGTACAGAAATGGGAGCAGCAGCTTGCACCCTCCTGTGGGGAGTCTCCAGCAGCGAAGAAGTGGTCAAAGCCATACTGGGAGGAGTAAGTGCGCCGGAGGGCCGTCTGGATGTTGTTGATAAGTGACTGTGGAGCTTAGAGGGTAGTGTGCATGTGAGGGCACTTAGAGATTCCGTCTACATCTTCTGTCTATTTGCTTTTGTTCATTCATTACATAGTTGTTTTATACCTCGTCTGGATGTTGTTGATAAGTGACTGTGGAGCTTAGAGGGTAGTGTGCATGTGAGGGCACTTAGGGATTCCGTCTACATCTTCTGTCTATTTGCTTTTGTTCATTCATTACATAGTTGTTTTATACCTGCTTTGTGTGGTGCGTTGTAACTTGGTGCTGTGGGGATATGTGAGATGAGTGACATGGGATCCCTCATCTCCCAGAATCCATATGTTATCTGTGGGTATATTACCACTTCAGTATTATTACTTTACATGTATATGAGTATAACAAAGTTTATAGTGCTTTTATGTTTATTTCATGGGTAATGTAATATTTAATTTATTGAATGTTATGTTATTTAACATGTGTGTGTGTGTGTGTGTGTGTGTGTGTGTATGAGGGTACTTCAAAAAGTTCATGTAAGGATTCGTATTATATTCTAATTCCATTTTTCCATGAACTTTTTGAAGTACTCACATATATATCAGAGAATTTCACATAAGGGAAGGGATTTGAAACGGGCCTTCATGAATTGGTAGAAATGGCAGAAAATGGGGAAGGTAGCTCAAGAAGACAGAAACAATATAATCAGAGACATAGGGTGAGACGTTCAAGGATTGTTTTAAGACAACGAGTAAGTAGGTCAGTTGCCATAGAGTATAGGGTTAATGTAATAAAGTAGTAGAGAGATAAGGCTTAAAAGTTAGGTTGGAATGTGATTTTGGAAGACTTTAAATACCACGTTGATGATTTTATACTATAGGTGGTAGGACTGGATTCCTTAAAGGTTTTTGAGTAAAACAATGATGGGACAAGAGCAGAATTTTAGGAAGATTGATCTGACAGTAAATGAGGAAGGCTTAAAGGTAGAGATGCGGGGCATCAAGACTAGACATGAAGACTAATTGGNCATGTTTTGCAATGGAGTGAGCCAGTTGGAGGCAGTGGGCTCCTTTATTAGAAATGTGTGTGTGGACTGCTGTGTTTTGTTGTTACTTTGTTCGGGAGTCCCAGTTGATGGTGGTTCTGGGCATAGCCGCTTGGGACTTGAGATGCCTCTTGTTTTCATTTTACTTAAACCAGATGAATTCAGATATTTGGGGTTATTTATAAACTGTAATGCAGTAGTATGTTCTTTTCTAAGTGTTATTTTTGCCTCTGAAGTTTATATTTTAGATATGGATTATGGCTCTCTAAGGACCAGTTTTCATTTGGACTATTTTCTATGATATATTATATGCATTTCTTTAATAAATATCTTTGTTAAAGAGGAAACATAATAGAGAGATTTCAAGGTTGAATGCTGTTGTTCATTTTTCTGGTTTTACTTTGCTTCAATTTCAGGAGAAACTGGCTCTTCGACAGCAGCTGCATGAAGCAAAGCAGCAGCTCCTGCAGCAGGCAGAGTATTGTACAGAAATGGGAGCAGCAGCTTGCACCCTCCTGTGGGGAGTCTCCAGCAGCGAAGAAGTGGTCAAAGCCATACTGGGAGGAGTAAGTGCGCCGGAGGGCCGTCTGGATGTTGTTGATAAGTGACTGTGGAGCTTAGAGGGTAGTGTGCATGTGAGGGCACTTAGAGATTCCGTCTACATCTTCTGTCTATTTGCTTTTGTTCATTCATTACATAGTTGTTTTATACCTGCTTTGTGTGGTGCGTTGTAACTTGGTGCTGTGGGGATATGTGAGATGAGTGACATGGGATCCCTCATCTCCCAGAATCCATATGTTATCTGTGGGTATATTACCACTTCAGTATTATTACTTTACATGTATATGAGTATAACAAAGTTTATAGTGCTTTTATGTTTATTTCATGGGTAATGTAATATTTAATTTATTGAATGTTATGTTATTTAACATATGTGTGTGTGTGTGTGTGTGTGTGTGTGTGTATGAGGGTACTTCAAAAAGTTCATGTAAGGATTCGTATTATATTCTAATTCCATTTTTCCATGAACTTTTTGAAGTACTCACATATATATCAGAGAATTTCACATAAGGGAAGGGATTTGAAACGGGCCTTCATGAATTGGTAGAAATGGCAGAAAATGGGGAAGGTAGCTCAAGAAGACAGAAACAATATAATCAGAGACATAGGGTGAGACGTTCAAGGATTGTTTTAAGACAACGAGTAAGTAGGTCAGTTGCCATAGAGTATAGGGTTAATGTAATAAAGTAGTAGAGAGATAAGGCTTAAAAGTTAGGTTGGAATGTGATTTTGGAAGACTTTAAATACCACGTTGATGATTTTATACTATAGGTGGTAGGACTGGATTCCTTAAAGGTTTTTGAGTAAAACAATGATGGGACAAGAGCAGAATTTTAGGAAGATTGATCTGACAGTAAATGAGGAAGGCTTAAAGGTAGAGATGCGGGGCATCAAGACTAGACATGAAGACTAATTGGGTGGCCCTTCTAGTGGCTCAGGCTGGAGTGAGCTTGGTTCACTGTGGGGGAGATGGGAAAGAAGGAACCTCTGCAGAGCCTTGGTGATTGGGGCAGGTGTGGTGACAGTGAAGTTGACAGCTGAGGCAATGAGAGGAACTAGAGAAGATTGGGGTTGGGCTGGCAGAATGGTGTGGTCATGAATGGAAATAAAAGTGGAAAGGAGGTTGTTTGGGGGATGTTTCTATCACCTGTGGTTTGTAAACTATTCTTCAGAACCCTAGCATGCCCAAGGAAATCATTCAGAGGTTCTGCAAACTTGAAAGTATTTTTTGCTGAGTAATGAAGGTTTAAACTGCTATAGAGGAGGCTGTTTATTGTCTTTATTTCTTTTACATGTTGAGGTTTCAGTTAAGATTTTTTTTTTTGGAAAATAGTTCTGCTAGAGGTTTGAAAACCTCTGATTTAATGCCTAGAAAAAACAGACAACATATTTTTCTAGTTTATTTCTATTACATTTTTGAGTGAATTCACCCAGTACTTCCATCATTGTGTTAATTTTTACTGTTCCCATATATATATTTTACTCTTTCTGTCAGTATTCAGGGTAGTCTTTCTTGCTTCTCAAGCCCCAAGCTGCTATTCTCTGATCTTTTCAACGGGATCTTTTAATGAAAGAATAGATTTTTAAATATTGGGTCTGTAATTACAACTGGAGTCTTTCTTCTATATCCTGCACTTTTAAAATGTTTTTACACTGGTACCTATGAAGAGGTGTGACGCTTTCATTCCCAAACTTTCAGGATAAAGCTTTGAAGTTTTTCAACATCACTGGTCAAACAATGGAGAGTTTTGTGAAGTCACTGGATGGGGATGTCAAGGAGCTTGATTCTGATGAAAATCAGTTTGTTTTTGCTTTGGCTGGAATTGTAACAAGTAAGTAATTCTTTTCAAATGTAGTGACTATTCTACAGAGCCATGATTTTACAGTTGGGGTGTGTGTATGTAAACATCTCTCAGGAACATTTTCAGATATCTATGCTGGGCCTCACCCTGCAGAATCGAATTCCTTAGATCTGGGATAGGTACTGGGCATGTATATTTTGGAAAATCACCTCCAGGTGATTCTGATAAATAGCAGTTGTTAAGAGCGACTGATCTAAAGAAAACACAGATGAGACTGCATGTTCTGTTTAGTTATGTACATTGACGGAAAAACACAAACAAAACAAAAAACCTGTATGTTTAGCTACTTGTTACTGGAATCATCATTTTACTAATATCTAGCTGAAATAAAAGCCTTAAGCTTAGCTTAAATTAAACTCTTGGTGTTGTTTTAGTACAGTAATTAAAGAATTCCAAACTCTAAATTGCCTTTTTTAGTAAATTTCTTCCAAAAGATTATAAAGTAAACCTTTCTCTGGAGTTATGATAAAATTCCATAGCAAAACTGTTATAAGGGATAAAGCCCAGGGACTAAATAATTTCTTAGTATAGGTGGTATATGCTAGTGAGTGTTGTGGCTCTTCGTTCTCAAGTCAATGAAGTGGTTAAATATATTGCTGTGACGGGCCGACCCCGTGGCGCACGAATGGCCGGTGTGCTCACAGGCTGAGCGTGGTGCGGGCGATCCCAAGCCACGGGTTGCGATTCCCTTACCGGTCACGGAAAAGACATAAAAAAAAAAAAAAATATATATATATATATATATATATATATTGCTGTGACTTTTTTTTTTTTTAAACATTGATCTTTCGTCTCTGCTGTATCTCATGCTCTTCTTAGGGTAATTCTATTAAAGAAAGGGAAAATTTTATTTTCTTCATGGTGTTATCTCTTTTTTACTGAAACCCTAATTAGGCAGGTCCTGTGTAGACATTTTTTTCATAATCCCTCGAATATAGGTGAGACTTATTGTGGGGTAGATACTACAGTTGTAACTGTCTCTGGACAGTCCTGGGTTGGCCCGGCACTTTTATCCAGTGCAGGACAGCTTCCAGCTTCCTGCACATTTGTCATAGCACCTGTGGTTGGAGCAGGCTTGCATAGCTCTTTCTTTTAAAATTGTTTGAAGGTCACTTTTTAACAGAAGGCGTTTGCAGATTGGGTTTTCTTCTCTCTGCAAGTGACTCCAAAGGTCTGAAACCTATGTGATTTGTCGTTTTGCTGAGTTGTGAATTTGAGCCACCTGAATTGCCGACTGGGATAGTGGTGAAGCAGTTGGCTAGGGGTAAAGCCAACATGTTGCCCAGTGTTCAAGCTCAGCTTGGCTTTGCTTTTCTCTGTTTGTTGGGGCTTACATAGGAACTCGTATGAAGAATTGGAAAACGGGCACTTATATTTGCATGTTAATGAATGTGACAGATTACATGCTATGATAGTGTTTTATTAAAGTGTGGATTTGCAGAGGTCTTGGGAGCTTATGCATCTCAAATACCAAGACTGTACTGTGGGGAACAGGTAACACAGCAGAGACCACAGGCTAGGTTTCAAATAGATCCTCTTCCTTCTAAAATAAGGGTTCTTTTCAAAATTGTATATCCAGTAAATTTACAGTTTTTCCCCACATTTTTGTAGTCTGTGCATTTTGAAAATGCATGCAGTCATGTAACCATCACAGTTAGGATGTGGGACTCCTGTTGTTTCCCCCAGTCTCCTCCACCCCTGCCTTTTGTAGTCAGCTCCTCCGCCCACCATCAACCCCAGGCAACCACTGATCTGGAGATTTGTCAAACATTTTAGCTGAATTTTTCTTGGTGGCTTGTATGGTCTTGCTGCAGATTGAATATCTGCCCCCACCCCACCAAACTCATCAAAGCTTGAATTATGTCCCCCAAGTTTTATGTATTAGAAATTGGCCCCCACTGTGACTGTTGGGAGGGTGGGAAATCCTATTATGGTAATTGGAAGGTAGGGCCTTGAAGAGGTGATCAGATTGTAGGACCGTGCAGTAGTGAATGGATTAATAATGGTGGTCTGGGTTGTAGTTCTGAGGGCTTTAAAAGGAGAGCACGTGAGTCTCTCTCTCTTTGCTCTGCCATTTTCTCCCATGTGAGACCCCTGGGTCACTGTCGCCACCACCAAGACCCTCATCAGATGTGGGACTTTAGACTTCCAAGCCTCTAAATCTGTAAGCAATAAATTTTATTTTCTTATAAATTACCAGTTCCAGTATTCTGTTATAAACAACAGAAATGGACTAATACAGAAAATTGGCACCAGAGAAGTGGGCTGTTGCTCGTAACAAATACTTGAAAATGTGGAAATGGCTTCGGAACTGGGTATTGAGGAGTGGCTGGAAGAATTTGAAGGAACAGGCTAGAAAAAGCCTGGATGCTGGTGAAAGTTTGGAAGACAAGAAAACCAGGGAAAGTTTGGAATGTTTTAGAGACTGGTGTTGAGCAGAATGGTGATGGAAGTGTGGACAGTAAAGGCCATACCAAGGAGATCTCAGATGTAAATGAAAGGGACTTATTGGAAACTGGGGCAAAGATCACCCTTGCTATGAACTGGCAAGGAATTTGGCTGCATTTTGTTCATGTCCAAAAGCTTTATGGAATGCGGAACTTCAAGGTGCTGACCCAGGGTATAACAGGAGGAATTTCTAAGCAGCAAAGCTTAAGGAAGCTGTTTGCAACAGCCTGTGCTGAGCTATAGCAGCAAAAGTGATGTAAAGCCAGAATTTAAAAGGGAGGCAGAGTGTAAAGATTTGGAAAATTTGCAGCTTGGCCATGTGGTAGAGAAGCAGAGAGCATTTTCAGGAGAAAAATGCAATGGTGCTAAGAAGATTAGAACACAAGAAAGGTATTTTCAAGAGAAGGGGTAAAAGGCCCTGAAGGCATTGAAGAACCTGGGGCCAACCTTCCATTACAGACAGGCCCAGAGGCCTAGGAAGACAGAATGGTCTTGGGGAACAGGCATGAAGCACCCTCCTTGGGCTCACTGCCCAGGGCCACTTTGGGAAGCTGCTTCCAGCACCAGTACCCCAGCTGCTTTGGCTGCTCCAGCTGTGGCTAAATTGGCCCCAGTGGAGGTTGGACCTGCAGCTTTGGAAGCCATAAGCTGGAAACCTTGGTGGGGTGATGTTAACATGTGGCAATGTCTATAGGCTTTCAGAATGTCAGAGCTGTGAAGGCTTGGGAACCTCTACCCTGATTTCAAAGAATGCAGGGCCAAGCCTGTGGCGCACTCAGGAGAGTGCGGCGCTGGGAGTGCAGCGACGCTCCTGCTGCAGGTTCGGATCCTATTTAGGATTGGCCGGTGCGGTCATAGGCTGAGCGCGGTGTGGGTGACACCACACCAAGGGTTGCGATCCCCTTACCAGTCACGAAAAAGACAAAAAAAAAAAAAAAAAAGAGAGCTGTGAAGGCTTGGGAACCTCTACCCTGATTTCAAAGAATGCAGGGCCAAGCCTGTGGCGCACTCAGGAGAGTGCGGCGCTGGGAGTGCAGCGACGCTCCTGCTGCAGGTTCGGATCCTATTTAGGATTGGCCGGTGCGGTCATTGGCTGAGCGCGGTGTGGGCAACACCACACCAAGGGTTGCGATCCCCTTACCAGTCACGAAAAAGACAAAAAAAAAAAAAAAAAAGAATGCATGGAAAATCCTGGGGGCCCAGGAAGAGATCTATTGCAGGAGCAAAGTCACTGCATAGAGTTTTCACTAGAGCAATGCTAAGAGGAAATGTGGGGTTGGAGTTGCAGCAGAAAAACCTCACCAAGGCCATGCCTAATGGAGCCATGGGAGCGGGACCCCAGAATTGTAGAGCTACCAGCATGCAATGCTAGCCTGTGAGAACTGAAGCGTGGCCTCAGACCAGGAGAGCCATAGAAGTGGAGCTGCCCAAGGACCTGGGGATCCAACCCCCACACCAGCATGCAGAGGACATTGAACATGGAGTCAAGGTACATGATTCACCAGTAAGATTTAATGCCTGTCCTGCTGGGTTTAAGACTTGTCTGGGACTTGTTACACCTTTCTTTTGGCCGATTTCTCCCTTTTTGAATGGGAAGATGTACCCTGGTCCATCAACAGGGTCAGTTAGCATCACTTCTGGCCTATCAGTCCTGCTTCCTGTCCCTCCTACCCCACACATTTGTGCTCACACATGTAAGCACTGTAGTGTGCAGAAAAGAAGATGGGGCAGACTTGAGGTCCCATGTCCAGTGCTGCTTCTGCCACTGACTGGCCCTGTGTTCTTGCATATGTGACCTTTGGTTTCTTCTTCTGAGAAGAGTCTTTGACACTACATGACGATTAAGGTCTGTCCTAGACTTGTAATTGTGTGATTCTGCATGTGGAAGAATAGGGTGCCACTTCTGAACTTTGATCTGTAGGTCTTCTGGTATCAGATAGTCTGAGTCTGCAGTGAAGAGTCAGTGAATGGGTATTTATTTGGGTTGTTTCCACCTTTTGGCTTTTATGGATAGCTGCTGTGAACATGTGTGTACAAGTTTATGTGTGGACATACGTTTTCAATTCTCTTGGGTTTACATGTACGCCTAGGGGTGGAATAGCAGGGTCGTGTGGTAACACTGGGTTTAGCTTTTTGAGGAACTGCCAGACTGTTTTCCACAGTGGATGCACCATTTTATGTTGTGGTGGCTCCTTTTCCCCGTGTCTTCAGAACAGTCAGTGTTTTTCTAGGCACATGGCAATCTTTGTTGGTGGTGGTTGGTTCTTTGAGCAGCTGAGTTTGGTTCTCATGCAGCTCAAACTCTAGGAGAGATCATCAGAGACTGTTGTTGAACCTCCTGCAAGGTAAGGTTGGTAGAGACCTGATTCTTAGTTTGAGCACTACTCCACATGATTTGTTTCCTGTCTTCATCTCCGAATCACCTGTTGAATCATCTGTCAGGACAAGAGCCGAAAAAGTTTTTAAGATTCTAGGCAACAGATAGTGAGCAAATATAATTTTAGGCACTGTGAGAAGGAAGA